TGAATTGAAAGCAAAGTATTTATTGAAATAGTGACATTATTTCGTAGCGAAAGTATTGTTTCGATTAATTTTTGTATTTATCGATAACTATGTAATTTAGAATGAGTGATCAGAATAATAGTATTAGAACAATGTTTTTCCAATTACAATCGAACTTCGACTCGGTTTCTGTTTTTTTACTGAATTGAAAGCAAAGTATTTATTGAAATAGTGATATTATTTCCGCAGTGAGAGTATTGTTTCGATTAATTATTGATCAATAACTATTTTAGAATGGATATTCAGTACAACAGTATACGTAAAAGCTGTTTCAATTATAACCGAACATCAATTACGTTTGTTTATTCAATAATGGACAATACATGAATGATTTATTGAGTCGCACAATTTCAGGAATTTATGCATACAGCTCTAAGAATCGTAGTAAAAAACACTTGAAGCTCGAATTAAATCGCAAGCTTATTTTAATTCGAAAATCGTTCTTGATTACATTATAATCATAGAGAGTAATTCGGTGTTACCGGTTTACCACGTTAACTTGACGTAAATTGATAATTAGGGGACGGTAAGATTGGTGGGAAACGGATAATAGCGTGCTGTGTACAATGTAGATAGATATATTAATCTATGGTCAAACACATCAGCCACCTGTACTCAAAAGCATGTGTGCTCGACGAGAGATTAAATATCATTTTCTCGATAACAATGCTCTACACGCGAACACAATCTATTTTATATATTTTCATCATTTTTAATTGCGAAACCATTCTGCGCCAAAATCAAAATAGGAAACATCGAATAATTTTATTTTATAGGCAAATTCGTTTTCAGAAAATAATGCTTATCGTTAGTGACTCTGGTGACCCTATCATCGAGTGTCTGACCATGGTTTGCCGATTCTACTTATATCAATAATCCCAAAGCAAAATCGCGATAGTGCATTCACAGTTGAGTGTGCGAGTAATTTCAATAATGCACAATCAAATTCGGAGATTATTTTCAATTAAACAAAATGAATTCCTTTGCTGTTTCACCTTCATTCTTCTTCTTTCATTTCTTTTTAACGTATCGCACGATGTTTCAAATCGATTTAAAGTGGTTACATTTTAATTGAAATGAAAAAGTAAAATGAAACACGAGAAGAAATTTTTACCATCTCGATTGCGAAACTACTTTCGAAGCACATTGTATTCATAATTTTATTCGCAAATTATCGACCATGAAAAATGAGTATACTGTACAATAAAATTAAATTCAACCAGAAGATGAAATTTTTCAACGTGTCTGCGTATTTTGCATGAAAGCGACTATTTCGATGAATCGCGCAGCAATTTACCCATGAATATTCCCTTGACTTTTAGTCACGGTCTTGTAATCATTACGAATAATTTTCTCGTTGGAAATTTCTTCGCCAACTGGATATTCTGTTTCGATTGACAGAAAGCGTTCGCCCGAATAAATGATGTGGGACAGTGATGAACACTTGCCCGGAAAGACGATAAAACTTCCGCAACGGTGTTCGTAACCTGTCGCATTGTTGGAATGCTAAGAAGACGGGTGAGCGAAGCAAAAGTTTATCTCAAACAGGAAACTAAATCTATCAAGTTGCAAATGAATGACGGCGAATCACTGCCGGAATTGTTTTTCATTTTTATTCTGCATGCTCCTTTATTTGTTACTGTTTGATTTATATTGTTTCGTAAGAGTTTGTAACGACTCGGTTAAAAAAGCTCTTACCGATTTCGTTGTGCTAACCACCAAATAACCACAGTTGGTATGTTTTCTTAATCACTCTATGTACATGGTATGCAATGAGTCTTCCTACATCTAAAATTCCTCGCGGGATTCCACGAATTTTGCTGGAAACCCAAACATATTACATCTGCTACTGCACAGTATACTCTACTGCTTAGTAACGTTTGCATAAAATTCGTTTTTCTGCATCTTTTACCAGTCATATTCGTAATGTTATTCTTTTGCGCAAAAACAGTTAATTTTTAAATAGTCACCTATTTTAAGGAAATGACTCGATTTTATTAAATATATACAGGGTGTTCCACGATTATTTTAACAGCCGAAAATGAGGGGTAGCTGAGGTCGTTTCAAGTAACTGTTTACTTTGCGAAAATGCAATCTGCAGCTTTGTTTACGAGTTATTAATGAAAAACACTGACATAAACTTCACATAACCTTGGTATGTCAAGGTTACGTCAAGGTTATTGATAATATTCATCATATTTGTCTAACAAATATGTATACAAAATTTGGCTACTACAAAATTAACAATTAAACACTTGATTTAATAAAATTAAATTAAATTTATGATTGAACAACAGAGACATTTGTCACTGAACATATTCTTTAGTAAATTGCTGACAAATTAATATTAATAAAAACATACAGATTGAGTAGCTTCTGTAAATATATTTTGTTCAAACTGTTTTCTGACAGTGCAACAAAAACAAGAGGAACTAAAAATTTAGAAATAAATTCGATTTTCAATTAAAATACAGTATTACTGACTTTTAGATATAAATAGAATTTATTCATATTTCTTTCTCACAAAAAAAAATCCGACGAGGATACTTTCATTATTAATCCTAATAAATTTGGTTAACATTTGTTAGAAACGCCCGAAAACAAGGTCGGTCTTCTTAAAGTGCAATAGCCAGTAAGTACACCGCGAATGTATATGCAAATTCGCATTTCCATAGACTAATTCATAAAAGCTCGAATTAAATAGAAATTTACTTCTTCCGCGAGTTTCGGTATGCTAAAAGCAAAACAGAAGCTTCGCGCCACTATACCAAAGTTTTTTCTTTCTTGCGTTTTAATAATTCAGTGATGCTAAATCTGCCTTCTAGTTTCCATAAACAGCGTGTTACAAAGGAAATATTGAAATAATTGTTTAAAAATCAGCTTTAACTTATACATGAATTCGATCGGTCGAAATTCTTAATTGTTCGATTTCGAGCTAACAGAATATCTCGAAACTATTTTGCAAAAACAAAATTGTTATTCGAGGGATAAATTATTTTAAACGTTTACAACATATTCAGCGATACGTTCCAACTTATAAAACGATGTACATTTTTAATTGGAAAACATGTTATATCGAATTTCTATAATAATACCACGCTATCCACACGTCATTCAATACATCCAGATTAAATGTTTTATCAATTTGCAGATTCGTATGCAATTCATATTTACATGTGTAAGTAAACAAAAAAGTAAAAAAAGTAAAAAGATCGTATGAGGATGGTCTACATGCAAAAATTATGCTAAAAATTATGCTAAATATACAATGATTATTATAATACATACATTCGTTTTAATTTAATTTTATATTCCAGATCATATCGAAATATTTTCATTGATTGCCTGCAGGTTGTGAAATGATTACTTCATTTTTGCAGCAAATTGATAGTCTATTATCCAGTTTTATTAATTCTCCAATTACAGAATCCTACATTTGGGTATCTAATGGGTACCTGATCGTTGACATAAGTGTTAACCCCTTGTCTTACGATTTCTTTTGTAACTGTATTGATTGAAACGTTTTTGTCTTTAATAATTTCGTACCAGAAAAGATAATTTATTATTATTTATAATTTATTGTGCGAATAACAAAAAGAATAGAATTATATTTCACACAATTTAAGAGAAACAGATAACATTTATATATAATATCAAACCTTCACAATGATTAGTAAACTTAATTAGAAATGCTCGTAATGAGTCTGACACAATATTATAGGACAAGGGGTTAAGTTATTAGGAAACGGAAAGAGGTCGTGAGGATTTTTACGTTTATTGCAAAAAAAATCCACAATTCCACGCGTTCCTTATTAAGAAGAATTTATCTTCGATGATTCCACGTATCCACTAAAAACAATATATTCATTAACTTGAAGTTAACTGTAGCTAGAGGTGTGCATATTTTATTCGAATACCGAATAACGAATAATATTTTATTCGAAGAATTTATTCGACAGATTATCCGAATAAAATTTTATTCGTAGAATTTATTCGACATATTATCCGAGTAACAAATTTTATTCAAAGAATTTATCCGAAAACTGCTCGACGCTGACTGTAGTCAACTTCAACCCAGAAAATATGAATAACAACTAGTCCGCGGATTTAAATGCAAAATCTCATTTTTATAAACTGTTTTATAAAAATCTGAACAAGGAAACTTAAAATCCCTTATATCAATTAGAAAATTTTTTTCATAGTGAACGTCGAATAACAATGCAATTAGATATTCGTTAATATGCACATTTAATTGTCCTTCAAAAACTTGCATAAAAATCCGCAATCCAACAACAATAATACAGATGTCCGGAAACGGTGCACCGGCCATAACCGGTAAATCTACGATCGATTTCTGAGCGATGCTAACGTAAAAACCGCACAAACTTCTTCCGGTACCTAACAGAAAAACGAGAGGAACGAATGAGATTTGCTGGCCACTAAAACAGAACATCCCATTGGCATGCTTCGCAGAGATTTCAGGGCCGGCGAGAACGCAAACAGCAGCCCGGCCGTCGTTTTACGACGAGGAGGACGAAACCGTTTACGGCTCGGCGGAGATGGACAAAATGGAGAACAGGCCTCTGTCGGTGGACAACGCGATCAATGGCCATCTGGGATACCCATCAGTGGCGACTCCGGTGCCGACTATGAGGATCGGCAAAAAGAGGCCAACGATCGGCGCGGCCTCGAACGCGGATCATCGGTCGGCTTCTAGTCTGCTGATCATCGTTCTGACGCTGATCGCCGTCTACCAGCGATGCCAATGAACCAGCCGACCAGAGGTTTGAGAAATCTGTTAAAATCACGATCGATACGAGGCCGGTCCGGCAGATGGTACGCTTTGTTTCTCGGTTAATTCGGCGCCGACGAAGTATCGTCTTCCCTGAGTGGCTTATTCTTAAATCGTAGCTTTAATAACGGAACAACGGAGAACGGATCGCGGCGCGGCGCGCGGCGGTTCCCGGTTGAAACGATCATGGTTGGGCACTATGCGGAACACGTACCGCGATGTCGGCACGCGGAACGGGCAAGAATATGTTTAACAAGGGAACGACGACCGATTTAAGCTAGAATTTTCTGTCGCCCCTGCTTAATTGCTCGGTTTGCAACGCTGAGACTTGAGTGATTTCAGCGATACTTTTCCGAACCAACTACGAAGAGGTTCTTGTTGAAATTTTTGTGATGATCGAGCTCACGTTTGAGAAATTCGCATTAATTTTGTTCACAGAAAATACGAGCGATTCAAATCGTAATTTCTTGATTCTCCTATTTGACAGCCCGATTTAGACGCTGAAAGTATAGTGCTCTTTGCGATTATTTTCTGAACTGATTATGAAGAAGTTCTTCTCGAAACTTTTGCGATAATTGAGCCGATGTTTCGGGAATATGTACCAATTTTGTTGGAGAAGAGGCGACCGATTGCAACGCTGAGACTTGAGCGATTTCTGCGATTTTTTTCGGAACCAACTATGTAGAGGTTCTTTTTGAAAACGTGTTTGAGGAAGGTTTGCTGATTTTTTTGTGGAGACACGCGCGATAGAAACTGATTTGTCTAAATATTTATATAGAGCTCCATAACTGGTGAAACTGGTGAGCATTCCATAATTTCCAATTTAATTGGATGGTTGAACTCAATCGAGCCAAATGTGGAAAAACGACTAACTGATCGTATACAAATAAATTCCATAAATTTTAGCAATTCTTGTTCTTTGTATTCGCTTGTTTTCTCATTAGACTCCGCGTTATTTTATGTTTTATTTTATTTTATTATTTTTATTTTATGTTCAAACTTCATTTATCATTTAATCTACCAACAATTTTCTAATAGCTGTTCTTAAAATTGATGTTTAACATATAAGAATTTCTTAAAAAATCGTTTAGAAACTACAACAATGGCATCCACATGGCATCCATGGCAATCAAATTATTTAGATTAGTATAATGCAACAAATTCCTTCGAAATAGTTTCCTCGAAGTAGCTTCTCTTAGACACGATTCACTATGAATAAGCTTCCTGTAAATAAAGAGTGAAAACGAAATAACATTCTTAACATCGGACCAAATGACCTGAATTTTTTCGTAACGTCAAAAACATTAGTCTACTAGATAATGTGTAAACAAATTTTTGTAGAGATCGCAGTTGGTTGGAATTACAGAGAAAAATAAAAAAAAATCATTTTAGATGAAGGCAAAATCGCATCAAACAATCATCAGAAATTTAATAAGTTATTTCCCACATTTCGGAGATCTGAAGAAGTTGAAGTTTTGATTCGGTTATGAAAATTACATATCGAATTTTATCTAAAAGGATTAACGTTGTTTTTAGATACAAGTAAAATGACTATGAGGGCACAGTGATCAAGGGGGGCAGAGTAATCGAGACACTCACGCAATTCGTAAAAATTAGAATAAACGGTTCCCGTGGAAATACCAAAGTTCGAAAACCGGTGTCCGTATAACATAAATCCTGGCATCGCAAAAATGTTCACGCCCGAGGAACGCAAAAAATCTGGGGAGCTTCCGACGCCTGGAATGACGGTTCTATAGCGTTTAACGTTTTTGTTAATGTGATCGCCAGCGATACGAGGGGGGCCGAATTAGCTCGTACGACTCATAAATTATATAGTCGCGACGATGGAGGAAATGAAACGCGCGAGCCGCGTACGTCGGAACTTTATTTTCCGCCGGCGAAAAGGAGAACGTTGAAATATTAACAAGTGTATCCCGGACATGTGCGAACTCGGTGTTTGCATTGATCCGGCACTGCGCGATTGCTTCTATCCAGTTCTATCTGTTAGCTAATAAAAAATAACGCTTCGAAACTTCGAAATGTCGGACGACGAACGATTCCATCGGGAAAATTCTGACGGAATTATTAGATCCCGTAGAATTGCATTCTATTCATTGGCCCCTCTATTTACATTTGCGAAAACAAAGAATCCTTTATTCGCTGCTTGCCCATTATTGATTCCTCGAGCGCGGCTCGTTGATCACGAAACTATTCGCCGATTGCTATTTAACAGCGATTTCGTTCTAACGTTTCACACTTTCGCTGTCCCATCGTTCGCACATCGTTCTGGGGAATCCATTTTTGCGGCGATATATTGGACAGCTCCGTTAATTGGTCTTTTGTTGTACTAGATTCAGACTCCTTCAATTAACATTATTCTTTTTATAGATAACATAATTCTTTTTAGAATCGTTTAAAAGGATTATTCGAAAACAATAGAAGCAACGTTTCATTTTAACACTTTGACTGCCGCGTCACCCGTATGCGGATGACGAAATTATTTAAAATTTAATTTCCATGCTAATCCATAAAAATTTCTTCATTTTATTAAGATTCACAATTGGTAAGAATGTTGAAATAGTTATCGATGTTATATAATTTTCCTTTGCAAGTTTAATTTAATTGATTAAAATATTTGAATTCTATGAAATTTTGAGATGCTTTCGGCGCGGTCGTTAATGTGTTAATATAGATTATCGTCAGCAAAATTTTATTAGGACAATTAGAAGAAAGTTCGAAGAGTAATTGGACGTATCGGTTTCTATTTTATTAAATTGTTAAGATTCAAACAATAAAACGACACGATTTTGACGTGCATGTTTATTATTTCTGCAAGTAAAGTACAAAGAAAAGAACAAATGAAGCCAACAAAATTTTTTGATCGGCACTTCTAGTGAAACCGAATTAATTTTATGTATTTGCACGAATGAAAAGTAATTAATTCATAGGAACGACGCAAATAAAGCGACATGTACTGTTTCGCCGAAATGTGAAAATCGTAGTGCAATCCTGGACACCGCTTAAAAAATCGACTACATAAAAAAGTCTCGATTATATCAAATTTGGTTTATTACAGTACTATAAACACGTAAATTTCTGTAAATTTCGAAATATCGTCGGATACACATGATACATCGAATAAATCTTGAAATTCTCATTTTCCAAACGCAACATGATCAACAAATTTCAACAACGTAAATTCCCGGCAAAAAATTGACAATGAAATGTTGCGTTTATGCAGTGTATATTATTTAATCTTTAATGAATTAAATAACGGCTTCGGTCATCTTTCAAATCGTTTTCTATCTACTTTTAAATGTCGAATGAAATAACGGTACGTGCAGAACATAAAATGCATGAAAAAATATGCAGGAGAAATTCATTTCGTTCTAAGCGCGAGCAATAATTCTGAAATTTTTTATAAAAATGAAACGAGAAATGTTAACATGTTACAATCGACCTGTACAGCGAGCAATAATTCTAAACTTTTTTATGAAAATGAAACGAGAAATGCTAACACGTTATAATCGACCTATATTATAATATGCGACAATGATTGCTACTTCAAAAGCTAGCACTATGATCGCTGCAAGAAGAATGAAATAGCGATATAGGTCGCAATTGAGCCTGTATTGTTTTTTTTTCTGTTACGCTACACCGATTACTATTTCGATTGTGAAATGATTTAAAACAGTTTTGAAATATAACTTCAATATGTTCCGTAAACTTCAAATTTTTCAGCTGTCGCTGTTTCTATGCTCGCGAAAAATGTTATTGGTTTCGTGTCACACATAATACCACATACTATGCGTATACAACGATATCTATTTATAACTATTCCTGTATATTCCGGATCATTTGACTGCGAATTTCGTGTGCATCCCTGCCGGAAAGGGATAGCTGAAATTTTTAAGCAAAACGAGGAAATTTTTGTTTTGCCGTTGTTCTATGCAATTCGTGCAGAAAAATTTTTATTTTGCAAACCGTAGTCTGTTTACCGTAAACTGTATATTTTTGTTCCTGCGAAATGAATTTCGCAAAAAATTTCGTAAAATCTCTTTCAAACGCAGCCCTTTCATTCATACGTATGTGTATTGTTCTATTGTAATGAAAAATCTGCGCTCTTCCATCGATCGGAATGATAATCGTCATGTTCTTTTTTTATCGCTAATGTTATACCGGATGTCCCAGCTAAAGATCTCTGTTATTTTTGGAGATATTGATAAACCGATGTCGAGCTGTATAAATGATATGTATACAAGAATATACGATTATAATTAAAAAATTCTCTAGCTGCAAAAATATTATTACCGCGATATTATAGGTCTCACTGAACTGAACAACTGCCATTAATAACGTTTTCCAATATCTCCAAAAATAACAGAAATATTGAAATGGCCTCCTTCAACTGGGATGCCTTGTTCAACACCAACAATAGAAATTATTATTGTGACAATTATTATTATTGTACAATTATTATTGTACATTATCAGAATTTTATTTAAAAAATCAGGGACGACAGAAGTTGAATATCGTGTAAATGAAACAGGATTTTGTTTAAAAAAATGAGGGACGAAAATACAATAAAGGCAGAGTATCAATTTTGGGAATGCACTCGAAATGCATTTACTATTATTTCCAATACAGATAGAATATATGAAGAAGTTCGACAATCACTAATTCGACGAGAAAAACCCTGCATTCCTGCAGTGGGAGGAATTTTCAATCGTTTCTTAATAAAGCATATTCAGACGTAAGTTTATATAAACCTTTTTCATCTATTTGGCCTCAGTAATATATAGTATAAGTTTGGTCCAAACCTTTCCGTATACCCTATATAATAGCAGAAATCGCTCTCGTCTCGCATTCACCATTGTTCACGCGGAAGGTCTTCAAAAGTCCGCACCGGTCTGTCCACCGCACTTATTTTCAGTGTCCACTTTCCGGCGACATCCGGGCCATATTTTCCTAAAATCCAGAGGACACTTTGCCCGGAAATTTCACTTTCGCGACACGACGCCCGATGACGGTCCGCTCCGTGCGAACGGTGATCTTTCAAAATTCAACCGGCATACGTGCCCCACCGCGATCAATCTCTTATTGCCCCATGCCCAATGAAAATCATTCAGCGTGGATCGCGCGTGATGAAAACTAAAAATCGACACCGGGGTTTCGATTTCCGCGATCAAACGAAACTTTAGGTTCGGACGAATGCACTAGGTGCTCTCGCTAAAGGAGATCCGACAGAACGAAGACAGGAGGATGAACCGTTTACAATTATTTGAACGACGATGATCCCACATTTCATCTCGATTCTCGAACGACGCGAGAACACCGCGTCGTTGATGCTCAAGAGGAATTTTTAAGGAATGACTAACGTTGCAATTACTGTGCCATTATTGTACCCTGGCTCGAACGTGTTAATTCGTTGTAGACAGCTGATGCTTCGACGAGCGGAAACGTGTTAAAGAATTTACAGCGAAACATCGATACCGAATGAATTTGTATATTTCTATCGTATATGAAGATCTGCGTTCGTGTTTAAGTGACCTGAACAGTGCGTACAAGTGAAATCTCTTCTCAGTAACATCCTAGTGCTAAAAGATCCAATTAAGATCACCCACTTTGGCTTCACGCTTTTAATTAAGAAATTCAGTTACACCTGTAATTTCACGCGAATACATATCGTATCATTATCGATACATATCGTATCGTTCGGAGATAAATGTTACAATAGAAACCGAAAGGAATCAAACATATCAGAGCAGCCAAAATCACAAAATCTATGAATCTTGAGTGAGCGTAACTAGACTGCGGTTTTTGATGCAGAATAAAAATTGTCTGCATCAGTTACAAGAAGTAGAAACTAAGTAGTCAGTTCTTTCTTTTTATAATAATTTTTGTACATTAGAAACAATGCATTGACATTTTTAAATTCGTTTAATCTTCTCGCTATTTGCAATTCCAACTACCCAGTTTAGCTGTAAATGCATGAAATCCGCAGTCTGAGCATAACAATTGATAACGTGTTATTGTTAGTTTTATTATACATAATTTTGTTACACGTAAGACGACAATATTCCGAGCACTCTTCAGATCACGCACAATATGGAGTATATGCCTGCATTATACATTCAAATCACCACAGGAATCGCCCCTTCCCAGGTGTAACGGGAGTTCCCGGACACCCGGTATACGTTGTTCCGATTATTTCCCATCAACGGTGCAACTGGTAACGCAATATTATTGTCCGGCGTGCAAATGAAACCGAACCTATGAAACCAGCTTGACACCATGCTTCTAATAAGGACGCCAGAGAAAAGACAGAAAACAGAAACACAAGTAGCAACGCTAATAAAATGAATTCTCAGTGGCAGAAAAAGTATCTGTTGCGATGAAAAGAGCAAAGATTGGGTACAGTGGTGCAGCCTGGTTAAGGGAGAACCAGGAAATCATTGTTTAACCGAGGAGCATAGTAGTCTAACGAGTAGGGGTGGGATCAAGTTCCTCGTAAACAGGTTCGAACTTCGACTGCTTGAATTCGAACTCTTTGTAAGTACTTTGAAAAATGGAAACGGTACTCCTAAGTATACTCGATAGTTTTTGACACAGATAGCTTCGAATCTTTCACGAGTACTTTAGTTAAACGAACGTAATACTTGCGAGTACGCTCGAATCATGGTCGAATAGACTCCATACTTTTATGAATGTGATGACCAGAAATTCAACAATTATTTATTTCGCTTAGAAGCTCCTATGAAATTCGGATTTCCAAGATTCGAGTACTATTCGCGAAAGATTCGATTCCTTTCGACAACGATTGTACTTATAAGTATGTTTTCGAAACTTGTGTGTGTGCTTAATTTTTTTACGTAGAAAGAATTTATGCGAATGCGTAGCACACCAAGTACTGATCAAATTTCGTTTGACGTATGTTTTGATTGCACCGCCGTGAATGACTGAAGAACGATGACAAAACTTGACGGGTACACCATGTATAGTCATCGAAGCGCTATTGCTTTTGGGCAGTAATGGAAACCCATGAAATGGAACTTGGATATTGAAAATGATTCGGGCTCGTGAGTATTATATTGAACTTGATCTCATCCCTTGAAGAGTTGGGCATTACTCGGTTTGCTTCGAATAAATATTTATCTGAGATAATTATCCGAATGAATCGACGTTATGAATAATTCGAGTTATAATTATACTCGTCAGAAATTATTCTATTTATTCGAATAATTATTATATTCATTCGAATGATTCTTTATTCGAATAATTATTATATTCATTCGAATGTGATTCTTTATTCGAATAATTATATTCATTCGAATGTGATTCTTTATTCGAATAATTATATTCATTCTTATTCGAATAATTATTATATTCATTCGAATGATTCTTTTTTCGAATAATTATTATATTCATTTGAATAATTCTTTATTCGAATAATTCGAAATATTCTTTGTCCGAATAATTCGAAATAGTAATAAGGAAGAAATAGGTCGATAAGCTATGA